ACAGTATAAAGGCGAAATAGAATTATTAAATTACTTCAGTAACTACTTTAAGACGAATCCTAAACAAGTGATGGCGTGAATGTGGGCTTAGCGTAGCGTAACTCATAAAAATTTAAATATATGAGGATCTTGTTAGGTACAAAATTATATTAATCTAATGCGATTTAAAATAAATTCTCGAAATCGCCCGGTAGCAAATATCCTCAGAGCTTTTTAAAAAAAAAAATTTAACAGAAATAAAATTAACAAGTAAAAATCACAAAAGTGCAAAAAAGAAATAGAATTTACAAAAATAAATTATCAGTAAAACTACTTTTAAGAAGAGAATCCCTAACAAAAAGTGGGATGGCTGGAAATTGGGGGCTTAAGCGTAGCGTACACTCTAAAAATTGAAATATATAAGGATGTTGTCCACGGGGGGGGTTTTTTTTTTTTAATCAAAATCTATATTAATTCTAATGCATTAATAATTCGATCGCGCGTAGCAATCATCCTCAGAGCTAAAAATAAAATTACAGAAATAAAATTACAGTATAAAAAGTGCAGAAATAGAATTATTAGATTACTCAGTAACTACTTAAAGAGAATCCTAACAAGTGATGGTGAATGTGGGCTTAGCGTAGCGTAACTCATAAACATTAAAATATGATGAGCGATCGTTTGTCACGGTATCAAAATTATATTTAATCTAATGCGTTAATAATTTCGCATCGCGTAGCAATCATCCTCAGAGCTAAAAATAAAATATTACGAAATAAAATTACAGTTAAAAGTGCAGAAATAGAATTATTAATTACTCAGTAACTACTTTAAAGACAATCCTAACAAGTGATGGGTGAATGTGGGCTTAGCGTAGCGTAACTCATAAAATTAAATATATGAGGATGTTGTCAGTATCAAATTATAGTTAATCTAATCATTAATAATTTCGATCGGCGTAGCAATCATCTCAGAGGCTAAAAATAAAATTACAGAAATAAATACAGTATAAAGTGCAGAATAGAATTATTAATTACTCAGTAAGTACTTTAAAGAATCCTAACAAGTGATGGCGCGTGAATGTGGGCTTAGCGTAGCGAACTCATAAAATTAATATATAAGGATTGTCAGGTATCGAAAATTATATTTACTAGTGATTAATAATTCGATCGCGTAGCAATCATCCTCAGAGCTTAAAATAAATACAGAATATAAAATTAAGTATAAAAAGTTGCAGGAATAGAATTATTAATTACTCAGTAACTACTTTAAAAAAAAAAAAAAAAAAAAAAAAAGAGAATCCTAACAAGTGATGGGTTGAATGTGGGCCTTTAGCGTGCGTAGATCATCAAAATTAATATATATAGGATGTAGTTGCACTGCTATGCAAAATTATATTTAATGCTAATGCATTAATAATTTCGATCGCGTAGCAATCATCCTCAGAGGCTTAAAAATAAAATTACAGAAATAACAATTTAATAATAAAAGTGCAGGAATAAATTATTAATTACTCAGTACTACGTAAGAGAATCCTAACAAGATGGGTGAAGTGGCTTAGCGTAGGCGTAACTATAAAATTAAGACCGCCGGGCAGCCTCAGCCTAATATATAAGGATTTGTCAGGTATCAAAATTATATTTATCTAATGGTCATCTAATAATTTCGACGCGAAGCAATCATCTCAGAGTAAAAAAAAATTTACAGACAAAAATATAAAAGGCGAAAGATAGAATTATTAATTACATCATAACTACTTAAAGAGAACCCTAACAAGTGATGGGTAATGTGGGCTTAAGCGTAGCGTAACTCATAAAATTAAATATTAAGATTTGTCAAGTATAAATTATATTTACTAATTCCGCATAATAATTTCATTCGCGTAGCAATCATCGCTCAAGAGCTAAAATAAAAATTACAGAAATAAATTACAGTATAAAAGTGCAGAATAGAATTATACTCCAACTACCTTAAGAGAATCCCTAACAATGATGGTGAATGTGGCTTAGCGCTAGCGTAATCATAAAATTAAATAATATAGTGTTGTCAGATATCAAAATTATATTAAATCTAATGCCATTAATAATCTCGATCGCGTAGCAATCATCCTCAGAGCATAAAAATAACATTACGGTATAAAAGTCCGCAAGAATAGAATTATTAATTACTCATAAACTACTTTAAAGAAATCCTAACAAGTTGATGGGGAGTGTTGGGTTCTTATGCTTAGCGTGTAATCAAAAATAAATCTTATATAGCGATGTTGTCAGGATCAACATTATATTAATCTATATGCGTTAATATATGTCTTCGATCGCGTAGCAATTCATCCTCGAGAGCTAACTAAAATTACAGAAATAAAATTACAGTTAAAAGTGCAGAAATAGAATTATTAATTACTCAGAAGTCACAATCTTAACCTGTAAGAAGAGAGTGAATCCTAACAAGTTGTGGCGATGCGGACCATTCAGGTCTGGATGTGCTTTTGATCCCACTCAGCTGGGGGCTCGCTTGAGTCGTGGTACGCGTTATAACTCATGCAACAATATGAAACCACACTTAAGGACTCCGTGTGTCACGGCTGTACTCACCGACTATTGACTACTTTGAAACTAGAGCTGCACCAGACTTTTCCGATCAGCGCGAAGGCAATGCCGTGCGGCTAACAATCAATCGACTCAGAGCCTATATCAGACTTGGAAATATTCACATGATAAAATTCACAGTCTGACGAAGCAGAGTGGCGCGAAATAGGAATGTGATTTAATTACCGCATCCAGTGATGGGCGATACTTTAAGAGAATCCTAACAAAGTGATGGGTGAATGTGGTGGTTAGCCAGACCCCACAGCGGACCCTCTAGATATGCGCTCAGCGGTACATTACCGACTATTGAGGAGACCTACGACTAGGCGTAGTGGGACTGAGCCTGTAGAAGGCACGTGTGCCGACACCCATCTATACAGCATTTATATTTCCTTCTATGACTATCCTTCCGACTGCCGCAGCTAGCGTTCATCCTTCAAGCGCGTAACAAATAATAGATGGAGCTGTACGTGAATGAATAGCCATGCAGCAAATCAAATGGGATCACTGTCTGCCCGGCGTATAACCGACTTTAATAAGAGACCTTCCTAGACGTAACGGTGTGCTCGGCTTGACTTAGATCTCGGCTTGAGGAAGACAGAGTGGTGCGCTAACGGAGTAATTGAATTAAATTAAGTACATAAGGAGAACGGGTTACTATCCAGAGTTTCTCTGCTGTTTCTTTGGTGCGGATCCCCCAACTCAGCGGCCGCAATGAGTGGGCGTTGTGCCAGCACCCACAGCGACCCCGTGGCCCCGGCTACCGCATGGCCTACGACGCCGCTGCTTAGCCGTGGAAGGAAGTGGTTCGCATGGTGTGCTTAGGTCACCCATCACGCTGTTTCGTCGTTGATCCTACCGACGCAGCGGTGACACCCCGACTTAAATATTAAATAACATGAGAGTGTGTGGTTACGTGAGCGGCGGTGTTGCGCAGACTGCGCTACCATGGTACCCGTGCCCCGGCTACCGCATGGCCTACGACGGCCCGCTGCTACCGTAAGGATGTGCGCGACAATCATTCAGCTGTTTGTTTTGAGTTCCTGCGTGCTGTGCGCCCCGCGAGGCCTCCATCCCTTCCTATCCCCTCCCTCCCACTCTTTTATTTTTGTCTCATTTCTGTCTCATCACGGGAATATTTATTTTTAAGAATATTTAAATGAAACACTGCAATGCTGAGGTAAAGAATAATATCCCACTTTTCCAATTCTGTTAATTATGAAACATTTGGCTCCTTGAATTTTTTTAAAAATTGTTTATGCCCTTAACGAACCAAACCGGCCAATTTGTGCAGAAGACTTAGAGCGAGTAAATGGGTACTAACAAAATTAAAATAAAAGTATATGATATTCCGTTTTCTGGCAGTAGATACTGTACACACTCAATGGAACACAAAATTGAACTTTCGTTTCGCAGGTTCTTCTCGATATTAACATACGTATGAGAGAAAAAGTATTGCTCTAAACGGAAAGGTCAATAGTGCTACTTTAAAGAAAAGAAAGTTCAAACACATCAGCATGCCGCTCTTCTAACTGCTCTGAGGACATTCAGGAAGAAGTAAGAGGAAAGGAAAGCAAATGTTTTCACCGTTCATGTGCTTGTAAAATCATCGGAAAGTATTTGTCCTTCGACAAACGTAAAATCAAATTTTCGCATCCACACGTGATCGGAATCATGTAGTCGAAAAGCAGAAATGCTTTTAAAAACTCGTTTAAAAAAAAAATGCACGACATTTTTCTGGTTACGTCAGTCTTCCATTACGAGGCAACGTAGTTCAATATTGAGATGTTATAAATTAGTGTAGTTTGTACAGGCAATTGGTAAAGAAGCCGGCTTAATCACTTTAAATGATGTAATATTCTTACAAAATACCATTTAACTGTTTCATTAGGGTCAATCAATAGTGACAATACTTTATAAATATTTTATAATGGTGGTACATGAATAAAGCTTATAACAAAAATTCAGAAAGTGTCCAATTCGTAAAGGGGAATAGAGAAATCTTGCTCTAAGTGCATACCTCAATGTCAGTCATTGTGCTCACCTAAGTGCATATCTAAGCCATTCACTGCACCGCACTCTTACCGGGTCCGCTGATGGTAATGTACAACCGGCAGCGCTACCTCAAACATCCACTTCTAGTAGACCTCACTCGAACCCCACGAACTGTAGTCAAACAAGAAACTGCTCCGACTCTTTCAGCTATCGCGTATCATAAACCTACGCGTAAACTTATTAAATACACGTATTAATACTTATATACATGTTTATCTTAAATACACGCATATCTTAAACCGCAAAGTCCATAATTCTTACTATTCCTTCACTTTCATAACACAAAAAACGTTTCAAATAACTGAAAAAAATAAAAGATCCTTGCAAGATCCTTGCAGAGTTTCCTTCCCATTGTGAAAAACTAGAATATAACATTGTGTAACATACTATGTGATGGTTTCTTTATAGCAGTTCCATGAAGGAGACACTACACCACAAAAACCAAACAAAAATTAAAGAAGAAATGTAGAGCCATTTTTGAGAAAATCTTGAAGAGGTTGAGACTAAACGTAAAACACCCCCAAAAGTTAAAATATCCTTTCGAAATTTATGCAGCCGCTACATCAGCCAGATCAATCGGGAAATATCAATTTCAGTGAAAATCCTATGAACGGTTTAGGCGCTAGCGTAGTTCACAAAAGGACACAGGGCAGACCTATGGACGTTTGACAATTTTTACAATATCAACGACCCACAAAACATACATTCTGATTACACAACGTATTAGAGGGCGCAAGAAATGTCCCACCATGAGTTCACAGGTGCAAGAATTACCCACTTTTTTCATTTAAGGACTCATAAAATTAGGTTTTCTTTAAAAAAATGGAATTTTCTGAAGAATTAGGAAATTACTTTCGAAATGACAGTTTTCCGCTGCAGTATTACAACACTTCCTCGAGACCACGTAGTATACGAGAAAGAAAAAAGCAAATATAACTCTAATGGAAGAAAGGCACTATATGGAAACCAGAGTAAGAAACGTGTCGTGAACGCGGTGAAGTCCACAGGATTGGCGAGGAGTTATGGAAAGTCAGGTGTGACGGAGTATGGCGAGTCAACGCCCTCGCCTGCAAATCCCTCCCATGGCTGGCGCGGGGCCAGCCCGCATGCGTACCTTTCTTCTTGCAAATTTTCTGGGCGTCGCGGCGTCCAACGCCCAGCGTCGCCCCTACCGCAGCAGCTGGGACGCGTCGCCCGGAGCGGCCTCGCCCTCGCACCGCCCTCGCCCCGCCCTCGCACCGCCCGCGTCGCCCGCGTTTCCGCCGGACGCCGCCCATCCGATTATTCACACGAGCCACGCCCTTAGAAGGGAGCACTGCACACGATGATGGTCGTTGTTTCTGGCAATGTCGGATATATTGTTTTGTACGCGTATGCTTTAAAGCAGTCATTTCTGTACTTGACTGATTGTTTAGTGATTCCGGACACGTCAAATACCAGGGTCATTAGTCCCGTAAGTGTAATACATTTTTTTTTGCTCGGGAGTTGGAGGTGATCTCTCTCCCGCTGTATGGCGAGATCTGGCGCCGACCTACCGTCGGCTTAGCGGGGTTTTCCCCAACCAGGTATTTCCCACCAGCGGAGCACTACCTCAGTCGGGACAAGCTTTAAGCTCGCGACCGGTCTCCCGACATGTGTGGAAGTGTTGTGCGTGTTAGTGTGTGTGTGTGTGTGTGTGCACGGGGAAGGATAGGACAAGGAAGAATGAGGTAAGATCAGGCGCGGTCCGTGGCCCGTTTGATAGGGTACTGCTCCGGCATTCGCCTGGTGTTGATCGGAGAAACCACCGTAAACTACCGAGCTATCAGAACTATCAGAGCAGCCGGCCGCTAGAATCCTCCGCCAGACAGTGACTGGATTCGACGTATCTAAGAAGCTCGTGTCGAAAATCCTGCCGCCTAGGGACTCGAACCGATACCCTCCCGAGCAAAGTAGCAGGGTGCACATTGACGTGGTGAATGTCGGGGATCGCCTTGAATATTTAGTGAAAAAAGGGACTTCGAATTAGTCTCTGTAAGGACACGTTATGTGTCGTTTCCACCCTATGTGATATTAAAACCAAATGAAGGTCACTGTACAATAAAACATACCTGAGAGAATTCTTGAAATATATTCAAAGTGTGCTGTGCAAGTGAAGACTAAATTGCCACTTCGCACCCTTGATCGCCCAGCTGCAGATTCCTTGGAACTTAATTGCAGGGGGGGGGGGTTGTATTCAACTAAATTTTCCCGAAAAATATTTGGGGGGAACTTTCTGAATACACACACACACACACACACACACACATTCGGCATATATTATATACATGCCAAATTTGGGAGCAGTCATTCGATTGCTTTAAAAGTGTTTTTGGCACTTACGCACATGTACATATTTCCATTTTTATATAAACGATATTGTCACATATGTGTGCAGTGTTTGAATTTTGCCTCTGAAGCTACACTGTCTGGGAGGTCCGTGGGTTCGAGTTTGCAGTGGTGGATTTTGAACACTTGCTACATAGCTAGTCGAATTCAGCCTCAGTCTGGTGGAGAATTCTAGCGGCCGGCTGCTCTGACGGGTAGTTTTCCGTGTTTTTTCCTATCAATACCAGGCGAATGCTGCGGCAGTATCCTAACAATCTTCAGCATGGAACCGTGAGCGATATTTCCTTAATCTTCCTTATCTTATCATCACCACTTATTTCACACTGACTCCTACATCATATGTGCTGGTAGACCAAACTGGACCATAGAGCTTGTCCCGACGGAGGCGGTGCCCCGCTGGTGGGAGATACCTGGATGGGGAAACCCCACAATCCGACGTATAGGTCGGCGCCGGCTCTTGCCATCCAGCGCGGGAAGAACACGACCACCTTCCGTTAAATACATGCACTACACTTACGTGACTATCAAAGCAGCTGAAATATGAAATAATAATTTCATTTATAAAATATTATAATCGGCGTGTGATCTCACCATGCAGCGGGTGAAGACCTTCACCACTTCCCGTAATAAAGCATGCTTTTCACTTACTAGTCTAATGACCGTAGCAGTTGACGCGCACGAAATAATCAGCCAATCTGAGTCCGTGTGTGTGCGTGTGTGTCAGGGTGGCTGGAGCCGCTGCTGGCGCGCGTGGGCGAGGACCGCACGCGCGTCGTGTGCCCGGTCATTGACATCATCAGCGACGACACGCTGGCCTACGTGCGCAGCTTCGAGCTGCACTGGGGCGCCTTCAACTGGGAGATGCACTTCCGCTGGTACACGCCCGCGGGCGAGGACCTGCGCCGCCGCAAGCACGACATCTCCGAGCCCTTCAGGTACGCTCGCACGCACGCCTGTACCTCTTTCCTCTCCTTTATGTATTTCAAAACGTGTTCTATATTTTCTACATAGAACGACATCTCGAACCGAACTGTACGTGTTTCCTCTCCCTAATGTATTTCGAAACATTGTTCTCGATTTTTTATCTAGAACGACATCTCCGACCCCTTCAGGTAGGCACGCACGAACGCCTGTTCATGGTTTCTCTCCTGTATGTATTTCAGAACGTGTTCTATATTTTCTACATAGATCGACATTTCTAACCGAACTGTACCTGTTTTCTCTTCTTTATGTACGTCAAAACATGTTCTCTATTTGCTATACAGAACGACATTTCGAACCGTTCAGGTACGCACGGACACCTGTACCTGTTTTCTCTCCTTTATGTATTTTAGAACATGCTCTATATTTTCTACATAGAACATTTCGAACCGAACTGTACGTGTTTTCTCTCCTTTATGTATTTCGAAACGTCGTTCGTGAGTTTTTTTTATCTAGAACAACATTTCGAAACGAACTGTACCTGTTTTCTCTCCTTTATGTGTTTCGAAACATCGTTCGCGATTTTTTATCTAGGACATATCGAACCGTACCTGTTTCCTTTCCTTTCTGCACTTCCAAATAATCTCAATTTTCTAGCTAGTGCAACATTTTGGAGCCCTTCGCGTATGCATGGATAGAACTGTACCCGTATTCTCTCCTTTATGTATTTCAAAACATCGTTCACGATTTTTTATCTAGAACGACATCTCGAACCGAACTGTACCTGTTTTCTCTCATTTATTTTTTTCGAAACATCGTTCGCGTTATTTTATCTAGAACAACATCTCGAACCGAACTGTACCTGTTTTGTCGCCTTTATGTATTTCAAAACATCGTTCACGATTTTTTTATCTAGGACATATTGAACCGTACCTTTTTTCTCTCCAATATGCATTTCAAAATAATCTCCATTTCCTAGCTAGTGCGACATTTCGGAGCACTTGGGGTATGCATGGACAGAACTTTTCCCGTATTCTCTCCTTTATGTATTTTAAAACATCGTTTGCGGTTTTCTATCTAGAGCGACATTTCGAACCCTTCAGGTACGCACGAACTCGAAAGAGTCCTGGAGGATAACTGTACCTGTTTTCTCTTCTTGAAATTTCAGAACATCTAGTACGACATCTCGAATCTTTCAGGTAAGAGCGCACACGAAATATTCCACAGCTATTCCTCTTTGTGTCTCCTTTATGCATTTCAAAATATCATTCTCGATTTTCAGGCTAGTTCGACACCCTGAACCCTTCTGGTACGCACGTTCACATACGATTCCAGACGATTACCGGGAGGACAACTGTACTTCTTTTCTCTTTTTTAAATATTTCAAAATATCACTGACAATGTTGTAGCTAGCACATTTCCGAGCCATTAATGTTCGCACTTAAAACGAAAGATTTCAGGCAATTGCAGGGAATATAATAATACCTCTTTTCTCTTCTTTAAATATTTCAAAATGTCACTCTCAATGTATGTGACGGGTACATCTCCGAGCCCATTAGGTTCGCACACAGCCAATAGATTCGTGACGTTCGAAGCGATGAGAACTGTACATGCTCTCTCTTCTTTTAATATTTCAAAACACACTCAGTTGTTTAACTAGTATGATACCTCGGAGCCTTCCATGTAGTACACAGACAATGGATTCCTGCCATTCGTAGCGAGACGAACTATTCCTATTGCCAATTTTTAACATATCTTAAACTTTATCCTAAATTGACTCCCTTGTATGACATCTCAGTATCCCTGAGTTACGTCAAGATATGTTAAAGCAAATGTCTTTCAGTTCCTTCGTAAATTTAAATATTTCGAAACGTCGTCGTTCTCTAATTCCTTACTAAAACGTAATTTAAAGGGACTTTATGTAAGAATGGAGACAATTGAACTTATACCCTCGTAGTCAGCAGAATGGTTGGCCTGTCTTCTCTTCGTTAGATATCTTGAACATTCATCGTCAATTTTCTGGCAAGTTCGTGGCAAGTAGAAGAGAACTTATCTTCTTGTCTTTACATATCTCAAAACTACATCTTCAATTTTCTAGCTACAACGACATTTCAGAGCCTTCGAGATACGTCCACAGGCAATCGTAGCTCATAGAAAGGCTGGCTTCTTTACCTGTGTTCTCTTCTGCAAATATATCAGTATTTTATCCTAATAATCTAGCTTGTATGTCTCAGAATCCTGCAATGTCGCCCAGAGACATAAGTTTTCACATGTTCGTAGGAAGGAGAAAGTTTTCGTACCTGTTTTCTGTTCTGCCTCAAGAATTCATTTTCTCTCTAGTTCATCACAGAGCTCTTCAGATACTCGTACGTGCAGTGACAAAAGAACCCATTAGCTTTTAGCCAATAGAAAGGTCGGTTTTTGTACTTCTTTCCTCTTTAAATATCTTACTTTGATCCTTGATTCCCTAACTAGTACATCTCAGAGCTCATAGGCCCAGCTAATCCACATATATCCAGAAGCAAACCAAGAGACATTCTTCAGAAACGAACGTGTGTTCAGGTTGCTGAGTAAACTTAGAAAGTAAACTTGTGTTATGCCTAACCCTTTTATGCTATCGTTCCCCGAAGGTGCATCCCTGGCTGTTTGCCGAGCTGTGCTTCGTGTATGGTGTTCTGCGATATTGGAGAACAACCTGTCGCGTGAGATAAGATGCGATAACTGAAGATAGCGTAATCTCAAAAAAGCGAAACAGTTGTCTCACCGCGAAACAGTTGACTTAAGGTTTTATTATCCAGCTCAGGTTTTCGTACATTTGCGTCATCCAGTTATCCTGTAGATAATAACAAGTTTTGTTTTACAGAGTATATAACAAGTTGTAATGATGCAAAAACTGATCCAAAGATATTCACGGGAATACGCGTTTTGAGAGACCGCGATACTGAAAAACTGTTACTAAAAAAAACACCAATTTATGCGTATATCTCTTAGAAGGTATTGAGAAAAATGTTTATTTAGTGGTTTGGATGTGAAGTATTTGTTGGAGGAAAGTAGGTGCCTGGGAGTGTTGAGAGAACCGTAATATGTCTCCAGTAGACATGTTGGTACACAGCGAGAATAATCAAAATGTCGAAGGGACTCATAAAACATATGTGATTGTTACCATCGTCCTGTGTTCGAAGATTTTGTGACATATTCTGACAAGAACTTTCATTATCAGTTGGGGCGAATTTTAATGAAATGTCATCTTTTTTCTTTTCACTTTAGAACACTGCCGTTTAGTTTAGAAATTCATTTTATGTTCTGACAAAACGAAATGACTCATTTATAAATGTATTTTTTTGGCATTTTTCGTCGATTTCCACTAATACGACAATTTTTACCTTTTACGTCCCTTTTAATGCATTTCGCTGAATTCATCAATTTTAATATAATTTTAATGGTACTTGCTTCAAACCATATTTACGAGGTGCAACAATGTTCACCTAGTAGTCTACTCGATTTTTCGCTCATATATTGCAATGTCAGCACTTGTGAGTACTATGTAATCTAAGGTTCCTGTGACGCCAATCGGCGCCATTGTCAATTTGGCCGATTTGGATATATAAAGGCAGAAATTTTCTTTTCAAGAACAGTCCAAACCAAAAGTTTTTTACGTCATGTTTCTTTGTTTTTAGGGTATTTTAAAGTATTTTAAGGGCATTTCATTGATTATTTTTGGCAATGGTTTAGGTGATCAAAATGCGCCCTCTAATTATCAGATTAATTCTCGAGTATTATTCGCCTGTGAAAGCACAATTTTAATTATTCAATTTAAATTAAGAAAGCGGTTGGTCACTATCACGTTGTCAACGTTGTAACGGCCGGCTGCCCTGATCTGTGGTTTTCCATGGTTCCTCCAGTCAACAACAGGCGAATTTCGGAGCAGTACCCTACCAAACGGGCCATGGACCGTGCGCAATCCTTTCTTCCTCTTCTCTCACCCCTTACTTTCACACACACACACACACACGCACACACACATACACACACACACACACTTACTGCACTACACTACCCACATGTTGGGACCCAAGAGCTTGTGGCTGGGGCGGTCCGCCGGCCGCTGTGGTAGACACCTGAAGGGAATATGCTCAGCAATGTGACGTGTAGGTTGGCGCCGGGTCTCGCCATTTAGTGGGGAAGAAATCATCTTCACCTGCCGGGATAAAACATTCACTACACAAACCGGGGTAATGACCATATCTGTTGACATGTTCCGAAACCACCAATCAATCAATCAACATTGTGGAGAGTATTTTTTCAGTAAGTTCATCACGGAACTTCATTACTTTTAAAAGCTATACTTTAAATTTGTCGACTGCTTTCTTTAATCAATAAAAAAATTGCACATGTGTATCTTCCATCTTTTTTAATTAATGGTTTCCTTTTTCCTAATTTTTTAATAATCATTTTTAGGATTACTATTTTAAAATTCTTTCATACATACATGTGAGTATGTCCAATCGTCCTGACCCACTTGTCAGGATTAGGAGTACGATCTTTATGTTGCAAAGTTTAGAGAGCTCTGTTGTAATGGTTGTACATCGTCAACGAAGCATGCTATACGAAATTTAATAGATCTTTCTTTGTTTTGCAGGACTCCAGCAATGGCAGGTGGCCTTTTTGCGATGGACAAGGACTACTTCTTCGAGTTAGGAGCATACGATGATAAAATGGAGGTGTGGGGAGGTGAAAATCTCGAAATGTCCTTCAGAGTAAGTGTTTTCACGATTTTATTTACACATATTCAACAAATGTGTGGCCAAAATAATCGATTGATCATTCAAATACGTATTGTGATATGCATGTACGAGTAGGGATGTATTAATCGATACCAGTCTATCTAGTTGTACTTTGTACATGTTATTTTTGTCAAACATTTTAACATAATGTTATTGTTATTACGTAACAGTTAGCCTACTTTTCAATTTTTACACAAAAATAAAATGCATTAAATAATAATGCTTCTTGACTACAGTGCTGAGAAGTGCTAAATGTAGTACCCTACTTCTTGCGACAATAACCTATTTAGGTCACATTGCTTCTTGGCTGTACTGTTAAAAATTGCTGTCCTTGTGTGTCTATCCTATTTTGTTCTTCATGTTTCTTGTCTTTACTGTTGAGAAAATGCAAAATGTTTTACTCTTCACCTTGTGTCGTATTAGCCCTTAGTTCTCGTTGGCTATCGTAGTAGGGAGTGAAGAACCCTACCTAATTTAGCTCTCAACGCCCCTTGGCTACCCGAGATAAGCACAATGTCCCTTTCCCCTTGTAGACCACGGCTGACCCCGGGTGCTTCGTGTCTATACGGCAGGGCTGAGCTCACGTGTGTGTGTGTTGCAGGTGTGGCAGTGCGGGGGCAGCATCGAGATCGCGCCCTGCTCCCACGTGGGCCACATCTTCCGCAAGTCCTCCCCGTACAGCTTCCCGGGCGGCATCGCCCAGATCCTCTACTCCAACCTGGCGCGCGTCGCGCTCGTGTGGATGGACGAGTGGAAGGAGTTCTACTTCAAGTTCACGCCAGGTGCGCCACGCCCACAACGCCTAGGACCCGTCCCGTGCGTGATATCTGGGCTGTCCGGGTGACGCCGCGTCCAAGGCTGTGTTGCCGACGTTTCGACCATCTTTTCGTGGCCTTCCTCAGGGTCAACACAGCCTTCGACGCGGCGTCAACCGGACAGCCAAGATCACGCACATGACTCTTGCCGCGGAAGCCTACGACTTCACAGGACTCGTCCCTGCGACGCGAAATATAGGTTGAGGGCGGTAGCTTTCCAACGCGGGTATCGATAGAGGAGTATACCTAAAGGAGAAAGGAACTTGGTGTAGTACCCAGATCCTTCGATGCGGAGACTAGGTTGGGTGCGGTAGCTTTCCAACCGTAGCAATGCCTAGGATTCATCCCTTCGACGCAAAATATAGGTGGGGGGACAGTAACAGCCCAAATCGCTTGTCGATAGAGAAGTATACCTAAACAAACGTGATATACCTTCGATGCGGAGAATATCGACAACGCGGGTGTCGGTTGTGAACGGTACCTAAACGATTTTTTGTGCCATACTCCGTCTGCCTAGGATTTATTTGACTAGAGCTGCCCACCAGTGATCTGTATATAGTATATTATTATTATTATTATTATTATTATTATTATTATTATTATTATTATTATTATTATAGGCCATTACTGACCACACTATACGATTAATGTTTTTCCAGGATCAGCTTTTCAGCTGTATCCCTCAGTACAACAAGGTTGTTACGCCTTGAAGTGTGAATTATGAGATGATAGGATGATGCTGAGGGGTGAAGGTACAATCACAAATACGACCATATCTACGCAGGACTCGAAGCTTTGGCCGACTCTATCTGCGATGTACAATAAAAGGCGCAGGAAATAGTAGGAAATGCGCAGGAGTTTGTAGTCATTATTTACAATATTAGCCATTTGAACCAAAAATATTACTGACGAAATAGAAAGGTGTAGTCTACGGAACGCGAGTTAAAATGGCGTATACCGGAAATAAAAACCCGCGCAGAACGTTACGTGTATTTCACTGGCTAGGCACACAATGAAGGTACCTAGAGTTTCAGAAACGGGGAGTGGGGGTAATGGGGTGAGGGAAGCTTTCGATGCTATTTGCGTCGCCTTTGTAATCTAGGGTTCAAAAATGGCTGTTTTGAAAAGACGGAGGTGGGCGTGGCTTGCCTGTTGCAGAGGTCCTAGTCTAATGGACGACGCGAGTTAAAATGGCGTGAACCGGAAATAAGCACGCGCAGAACGTTACGTGTATTTCTGTGGCTAGTCACACAATGAAGGTACCTAGAGTTTCTGAAAGGGGGAGTGGGGGTACTGGGGTGAGAGAAGCTTTCGGCGCTATTCGGGTCCCCTTTGTAACCTAGGGTTGAAGCATTGACGATTTGAAAAGACAGAGGTGGGCGTGGCTTCGCTGTTGCAGAGGCGGCGCGCGTGCGCGACCAGCAGAGCGTGCGCGCGCGCCTGCAGCTGCGCGAACGCCTGCAGTGCAAGAGCTTCCGCTGGTACCTGGACAACGTGTGGCCGCAGCACTTCTTCCCCACCGACGAACGCTTCTTCGGAAAGGTGAGCCTCCCCCCTCCCCCTCCCCCTGCACCCCTAGTCACTTAATTGATTGATTAGCAGGGCTCGGATTCCGATGACCTAAATATTCTTAAAAATGGCCTACAAAAATACTTAAAAAGTATTCACACTGTCTCATAAGAAAAATAAGACTTTCTATGGTTGCGAAACATTCTAGTTTATTCTTGGTTGGATGTGAGAATCGATTTCGGGGTATCGACTGTGTCCATGGCTCATGGTACATGGCATTAATTCGTCTATCGACTTCGATCCTATTTCGATACCTGATTTTGTGTTAACGAACTATGATTGGTTTATTACTTATGTCTTACTTCAGCATTAGCACAGAAGCTTGAAACTTAAATTAACGTACTCTAGAAGCGTACGCATTCAAAATGCGTTCGTATAAGCAACACGTAAAGACGGCTCCACCCGGCGGCATTAGTCGAATCCCGAGTGGTGTGGACGGGTTGCTTGCGATTCGCCGAGCGCCCAACGTTCAGTATTAGCCCTACCCACCGCATGTCGGACTTCAGGACACATCCAAGGGGGCGAACATTCGCCGAACGCATCTGCTGCTCGGGATTGGGCGAGCAGTAGCTCGCTACTCGGCGAATGCCGAATGTGTAGAGCCGCCTTTACGTGTTAAGCTTATGTGAATGCATTGTGAATGAGTCCGCTTGTAGACGTAGTCCTAACTTTGGTGTTAACGCCATGCTTATGTTAGATTTAGATTCATTTAGTTTAAAAAAAAACAGTAAAAAATGCGTGTGGCGTATGGGGGAGAAGATTATCTGCGCACGTTTTCTTGAGTTCCAGAATCCCTTCCCGTCATTTTAACTATAAATAGTTGAAAGACGAGTAAAAGTTTAACATGAATAAATAAAAATACATTTTAAAAAAGCGCGAGATTAGCCAATTTGAAAAAAATTAAATCCGATTTGGGACTGTTTTTTAAAAAAAATTAACTAATTCTGTAAATATCACCATCATTCCATCTCCTCGTGCGCAGATCCGCAATCTTAAGGCGGCTTCACACATGCGGCATTCGGCAAATCCCGAGCTAACGCTCGCTGAATCCTGAGTAGTGTGGACGGGTTAGCTTGCGATTCGCCGAGCGCCGAACATTCGCCGAACACATCAGCTGCTCGGGATTGGGCGAGCAGTAGCTCGCTGCTCGGCGAATGCCGAATGACAGGAGCTTACGCGAACGCATTGTGAATAAGTCCGCGTATGGACGTAGTCCTAAGTTTTATGTTAACGTCATGCTTATGTTTATGAGCCCCATTCACAATGCAAACGTAGACATAAGCATAACGCATAGACATAAACATTGACATAAGTGATAGACTGAAGTATTCACAATGTCTTACATTTACGTAAACAAAATAAGAGTTTCTATTGGCTGTGAGACATTCTGGTTTACTATTGGTTGGATGTGAGAATGGGTTTCGAGGTATCGGCTGTGTTCATGGCCCATATAGAGTTAGTTCTTTTATCGACTTCGCTCCAATTTCGGTTCTCAATATTGAGTTACCGTTCTGTGATTGGTTCATTCCTTATGTCTTACTTAAGCATAAGCACAGAAGCTCGAAAGCTTTTAAGTTAACGTTTTGCGTGTTATGCAGATGCGAACGCATTGTGAACGAGTCCGCTTATGGACGTAGTCCGAACTTTGATGCTAACGCCATGCATCTGTTTATGTCTGCATTGCGAACGCGGGTGCGGCGTGTGCGCAGATCCGCAACCGGCGCAGCGGCCACTGCCTGCACGGCAGCGGCAACGGGGGCGGCGGCGCCAAGGGCGCGTCGGGGGCGGCGGCGGCGGGCGTCTGCCTGGAGTCGCCCGCGCTGCTCGCGCAGATGTTCGTCGTGACGCGCGACGGCGCCGTCATGGCCGACGAGAGCGTCTGCCTGGACGCGCCGGGCCACAACGACGACTCCACCCGCCGCCCCAAGGCGCGGCTCAGCATGTGCGCCGACACGCCGCGCCAGAGGTGGCGCTACGACACGCAGGTACCTGCGCGCTCGCTCGCTCGCTCGCTCGCTCGTTCGTTCAGTTGCCTGCTCTCTGACTCTCTCTTTGACTCGCTCCCTAATTGCGAGGACACGTCGCGCTAGAGATGACGCTAAGATCAACAGGTACGTGGGTCATTCATTCATTCATTTGCCTGCTCTCTGACTCTCTCTTTGACTCGCCCTCTAATTGCGTGGACACGTCGCGCTGGAGATGGCGCTACAACCAACAGATACATGCGTACTCGCTCGTTCATTCATTCATTTGTTTGCTCTCTTACTCTCTCTTTGATTCACTCCCTAATTGCGACGTCGCGCTGGAGATGGCACTACCACCAACAGGTACGTGCGAACTCGCTCGTTCATTCATTCATTCATCCATTTGCCTGCTCTCTGACTGTCTCTGATTCACTCTCTACTTGCGAGGACACGCCGCGACAGAGATGGCGCTACGATCAACTGGTACGTGCGTACTCGCTCGTTCGTTCATTCATTCATTCATTTGCCTGCTCTCTAACTCTATTTGATTCGCTCCGTAATTGCGAGGATACGCCGCGCTGGAGATAGCGCTACAACCAACAGGTACGTGCGAACTCGCTCGTTCGTTCAATTATTTGCGTGCTCTCTCTCTCTCTCTCTCTGTCTGTCTGTCTCTCTCTCTGTCTGTCTCTCTCTCTGTCTGTCTCTCTCTCTCTGTCTGTCTCTCTCTGTCTGTCTCTCTCTGTCTGTCTCTCTCTCTCTCTGTCTCTCTGGGTCTGTCTCTCTCTCTCTGACTGTCTCTCTCTCTGTCTGTCTGTGTCTCTCCCTCTGTCTGCCTCGCTCTCTCTGCCTGTTTGCCTGTGTCTCTCTCTTTGTCTGTCTCTCTCTCTGTCTGCCTGTGTCTCTCTCTCTCTCTGTCTGCCTGTGTCTCTCTCTCTGTCTCTCTCTTTCATTCATTAACTACTTGCGCCATCACGCTACCCAGCGGTATAGCTGCAACTCGTTGGTACCTATGCACTCATTCATTTATTCGCTCGTTCTCTTTCTTTCTCTCGTTCACTAATTGTACAGACACGGCGCTCCAACGAGTCAGTATACGCACCGCTCATTTGCTTGGTCACTCTCTCAACACTCATTTATTTACTCATTCATTCGCTTGCTCTCTCTCTCTCTCTCTCTCTCTCTCTCTCTCTCTCTCTCTCTCTCTCTCTCTCTCTCTCTCATTCGCCCATTAACTGTGTCAGCGATGGTGCTACGTCAAGAACGCATTTGCTTGGTAGCTCTCTCATCACTGATTCATTCGCCACCTACGCATAAAATTCACTCACAAATTGCGTGGATACGCTATCCCACCGGAATCGCTTCGGGCAGGTACACACTCGCTCATTCTGTTGGTCACTGATTCATTCCCTACTTATCTCATGCTGATCCACTCAGGAATTGCGCTCATATGCCGAGACAGTGGTGGCGCAACTTCCATCAGGTTCACACTCACTCGCACTTCACTTGGTCACTCTCGTATTCACTCATTCATTCGCTATTATCTCTCTCCGAGTCAGTCCCGAATTGCGCCAGCAGAGGCGCTACGTGCAGGTACTCACTCGCTCATTCACTTGGTTGCTCTCTCATTGACTCATTCATTTGCTATTACCTCTCTCTGATTCACTCATTAATTGCCAGCAGTGGTGCTACCTGTAGGTGCGCAATCGCTCACTCACTTGGTCACACTCGGGTTCACTCACTCATTCGCCCTTGTCTGATTCTCTCTGAGTCACGCACCAATTGCGTGTAAGTAACCTGGAGCCCACTAATTGTAGTTCTTCAGATGGCCTTGCACCACTTCCCCATTCTGATCCTCAGCCCTGACTCTACAATTTCGAAATGCTTTTATACTTCACTCAACATTTCTCACTTAACAAATAACTTTAACCTAGGACGAAATGCTGTGCACCCCTGCCGCATCAAATCCAAATTCCCAAAAGATAAATTTCGCCCCCCATAAGCACATGATAAAACCAATTCAAACATCCAACCTAACATTAAAGCATGTAAATTTTAAATAAACAATAAATCATCCCAATCCCAATCCAACACCTTAAAAAACGGAGCAGTGATGTCAAGCTCAAAGTGCCAAGGATGCCTATTCCTAACAATTAAAAATCTATTGTATCCAAGCCCTTGAAAGGCCACATGGCCGAAAAGAAAAGCCCTGACTGTTCCCTCGTTAAATCATGAAACTTTTCCGGGCTTCAGTTTGTACACTTTAGAATTTGGTTTCCCTAAGGGGTTGTTATTATATCCCTAAGGGTTGATGGAATTTTAAAGGCGGTCAAAAATGATCATGCTTTAAAAAAATTCTCGATGTATATAAATTTAATAAGGAAAAAATCAAATTCCTCTTCTCAGATGTGCTAGACTAACACATCATCTAGGAATTTACTTAACTCACTATTAAGAACAGACATTAGTTCATAAATGTATGAGTATCCAATGTATCTCACTTGTGACCTTAATTTGTCCAATAAAAATGAATTTTACATAAACACCCCTGACATTCTGTGCTACATTGTGTTAAGTGGTGATAATGATTCATGTAATACTGATACATATAATTACTATACATGTCAATATTAGAATTCATATTCATCAGATATCAGTATTACAAGAAATCCCCAGATAACACACTTAGGTTATTTTACAACACATCAGACAACATGAAACAATTAAAATATATGCACATGTTTAAATGCTAAGTAAAATATTTTCTGTTGTATAACTGTTTCTATACACTTAAAGACTATGCTGATCACAAAAAATGAACATAGTATTTATTTTAACAATGATATTTAATTAATTAGTAACCATTTATATTATATAATTCTAAAGACAATATACGAATATTTGTATAACAAATATTGTATTCCAGCTTCTTGGTCAATGACCCCCATCTTGATCAGATATAGCATCCACTTTGCTTTTATTCATTAAGCACATGCTAAGATAGTCCTTGGTTTTTGCTCCAGATTGTAAATGTACCTTCACTATGTGTTTGTGTCATTGAGCGCTCTCTCTTTTTTTTCTTTTTTTGCTATTTGTGGAAGGAATAGTGGGTGTGAGTTATTTTGTCTGCAATAAAAATTGTCAACTAAAATTTGTAGTTAATTTGCTGATGTAATTATGTTTTCTAAAACTCAGGAGCAAACATTTCTAGTTTTCAAATGTTAAACATTTTTTTTGTAACTTTACTTATAAGTCGACTGTGTGTAGAAAAAGAGTGGGATAGGGATTCCGGAAAGTAAGTAAAAGGGGAAAGATTATATTCTCCCTCATATGTCACAAAATATTTTTACTGTTTTTTGATGATAAATAAATTAATTCAAATCAAATGTGCTTTACAGACAAAGACATTTGTCCATCCTGCGAGCGGGATGTGCCTGGCTGAAGTGGACGAGGGTGTGGTGGTGGAGGAATGCTCGATGGACAGCAGGCAGCAATGGATAATGGAAGAGGTGCCCTGGAAATAGGCTACAAGAAACCCAGACAGTGTGTTACAAAAATGACAAAAGTCAGCTTGCTTCCTCTACGATCACTTGCCATTGACTTAATGATAACACAGGGATGTTGTACATCAAGAAAATCTGGAAATTTTAAGGAAATTTATCATCCTGGGAAAAGTCAGGGAATGTGACTGAGGCACATGGGAAGGTTACTTAATTAATTTTATAACTTTTTTTAAAAAAAATGACAAAAATTATTGTATTATTTCATTTTAAAATTTTCTCCATTATTTTGTTCTGCATAGTATCAAGAATTACATGCAATGGGTGTATTAAAATTTTACAATTACATGCTATTTTCATGTTCTCAACATTGATTCACAGTTAATTTTATGTGGCATGAACAAAAATGCATTGTTCAAAGAGTACACTTATTTAACATGTTCCTAGTTTTGGAAAAATTAACCAAAATATAATAAAAATATATGTTCTTCATTGTTTGGTCTTGAAAAAGACACAATGACTATACTTGTGAAAAATTGCTTAGAAAATGAACCTGGGAAACAGAATTTTCATTTCTGGAAAGTGTAGGCAAACTAGGAAATTCAGAAATCTGTGATAATAATTAATTTGAACTCAGTTGTGTTTTAAGAAATCTCATTGGACATTCTTGAGTGAATGGTAAAAATTTCTAATTTCTGCATATAAAATGGTCACATTCCCAGAAAGCAAAAGTTGCACTAAGCAACAGTCCAAGACTTTTTTACCACTTATCTCATCAATGGTTACAGTATCTGTGAAGCAAGGTGAATTGCTTAGAAAACTAACAGGACTGACCAAACGTTTTGTGACCTTCTGGCACATAAACTGTTCAGTGAATTACTAAAAGTCATTTGCCTTATCATTGGCATTGTATTCATCCTTTTATACTGTCAAGTATATTGAAACATCAAAAAATGGTGCTTTTAAAAAAGATCATTCAAAAGTAATTCTGGTTAATGTAACGTATTTTTACATGACCATTTATTACAGGGATATGAGTTCTGACAATGGTATTACTGTGTGTAAAATTATCTACATCATAACTTCAACAGGCTGTTAACCCTATCTGCCTTTGTTATATAATAAGAAAGGCAGACGGAAGAGACTTCCAAAGTGCAATTGAAAAATCTGTGAAATCCATTCTCAGGTTTTGAATGAATAATTGATGTGTGTGAATCTTTATTGCTTTATCAAAATTGCATTAATTTAATTACTTTAGTTTTTAAACTGAATTAAAGAATACATAATGTATTATTTATACATTTTGAAATGTAGCAGTTTGTATTTGACACCAACGTTTCAAAAGGTTGACCTTGCAATTTCTCTGAGTGCCCAGCTTTTAGAAGGGATTTCAATTATATAAACTGAAGTATCAGTATAGAAAGAGGTAAAAACTATTTCTTTACCAAATTATTTCTTCAGTTAAAAGCAGTTTTTAGTTAATAAACCTTTTTTCATAATAATTCAGTTATCAAAAATTTT